TGTAGCAAACGCATCTTTGCTCATGGGTAACTGGCTACTATAATCTGTATCTTCCAAAGTCGTTAGCCTTTTAATTAGGACACATCTTTCATATTCTCCTTGTTCTGAAATTGACTTCCTTATATGATCACGTCAATGAAGAATTGAGACAAGGCTGATAGCATATGAATCATACATAGCTACACAGGTGGCTACCCACTTTCTATACTTTTCCCACTCCTCTTGATCATGTATCTATAATTTTTTAATATAAAAAATCACATCCACTTATTAATAATGTTCCAGAATTGCAATAATACTTCAAAAAGTTCATAGACTAGGCAACACTCAAAGTGACAACCCATTTGGTTGGTTAACTTGAAGCATGTAAAAGTGGAGACAACAAGTTGATGCAAAAATATGAATTACTAGGCCTACTGTATCTTTTTTATATGGTGTTACATTTGAATTCTTCCTTGGTCAAATGGTAAACTATTTGGATGTTCTACTGGATATGGGTAGTAATCGGGAACTATTGGGAAATATATTATTTGATTATTAGAAATTGCATTTGTAGCAATTCATTTTTGCATTATATTTTTTGAGTGATCTATTATGATTATCACAGACTTTGATATTTGGTCCTTATTCGCTTGGCTCGGGGCTAACTAATTATTAAAATCAGATAATAAATAAAGTACAAAGTACGCTAAGGGGGACAAGAAGTCCATCAAAACATAAGAAAATGAAGAGAAAAATTAATCACAACTACAAATAAATAACAGACAATTTCCAATATCTAGAAATTAAAAAACAAAGGCATTCTTTTAACGATATTGATATTGAAACCCAAAAAGGAGACAAGTAAAAAATATTCCTCCATAGATCTGCAACTTATTCAAACTTATCATTAAAAATCTTGTATTTCTTTTCGTTCAAATAACCGAAAGCACAACACAAATCACACTATTCCATAGGACTGGGGGCTTCTTAGTGGAACCAAAACCTCTATAGTCAACAATGAGCGTTTATGTACATGAAGCCAGAAATACCCAATACACAAAAATATATTACATTTTTAAATACTAAATTAAAGCTATCCAGAGTGATTCAAACAGTTTTTTTATTTTTCCTAATGAAGAAAAGCATTGACTAAAATATATTAATGCTAAAAACAATGGAATTTTTGCAGGAGAAGATCAAAGAAACTAAGGACATAATGCATCAATAGTTCAGCTATTATAGGATGCACTTAGAAATGTTTTACATGATTATTTTGACCATAAGAAATCTATACTCATATTACCCAAAACTAATTTAATCCAATGCAACAGACCATCCAAAAGCTCATGTTTCAAATAAACATTCAATCAAACATTTCATGAGAATGAAAGGGTTAATTATAAAGCTTGAAACCATGAAAAAACACAAAACAAAAGAAAGTGAAATAAACCAAATAGGCACACATCTACAGACTATAACAAGCAAATTGTCATAACAAACAAATATATAAACAGATAAAATAAACAAACAGAAAATGTAAATCCAATTTAATCCCATGCAAAGTGAAAATAAGATATTAAATCATCAAACTACTTAGAAAACAAACAGGATTTCTACAATTTCACTTCAAAGCAAAAATTGCAAAGCAGCTTGAACATGGATAAACAAATCCATGTATCTATAATCCCTGATTCATAATAAAATATATATAGGTGTGTGTATGTATGGAATTTTCAATACAGATTTGAGTTTGGTGAGAGGAGAAGAGAAAACGAAAGAGGGGCACAAATACCTGATCGAAATTTCTGAGCAATCAATTATCAATCGAGTTCAGTGATTGAAAATTACCAATTGAAGTAGATGATGATCCTCGGTTGGAGCGATTTGCTGAATGATGCTGAGAATCGGAAATTGCTACCAAAGTTAGATCTGCAATTTCACTACGAAGCAAAATTGTAAAGCAGTTTGAACATAAATAAACAAATCCGTGGAAATTAATAGAGATCTGAGTTTGATGAGAAGGTAAGAGAAAATGAAAGAGGAGCACAAATATCTTATCGAAAATTCCAGGCAATGAATCTTCAATCGAGTTCATTGATTGAAGATTACCAATTGAAGCAAATGATGATCCCTGATTAGAAGGGTTTGCTGAATGATGCTGCGAGTCAGAGTTTGCTACCGGAGCTAGATCTTCAAAACTCGTCGGTGGTGGTTTTTTGAAGCTACTCATGAATGGTCTCCTGCGAGAAGCCATGAACAATGAAACTCTCTCTCTCTGATAAATTTTTCCTCTCAGTTTTCCCGGTTTTTCTCACAGATATTAAAAAGAATTGATGTCCTAGAAGGTTCTCCTATTTCTTAATTTATGTCTCGGTCCCTTTTTTTTCCCATATATTTTTTATTATAACCAAACAAAAATGGGATTACATTTCTCTTTTCCTTTCCATCTCCCTTCCCAAATCCCAGATTTTTATTTTTTATTTTGTTTTATTTTTTTTTCTTCTTTCTTTTGTTCCATGACTATTTTGGCATGCGTTTAGCTTTTTGAAGCTACTCATGAATGGTCTCCTACGAGAAGCCATGAACAATGAAACTCTCTCTCTCCGATAAATTTTTCCTCTCAGTTTTCTAGGTCTTTTCTCACAGATATAAAAAAGAATTGATGTCCTAGAAGGTTCTCCTATTTCTTAATTTATTTCTCAGTCCCTTTTTTTTCGCATATATTTTTTATTATAACCAAACCAAAATGGGATTACATTTTTCTTTCCCTTTTCAAATCCCTCCCCAAATCCTCCAACCAAATACAGCATTAAGGCTACACAAGTTTTGTTCACACAAAATCCATGGTTCTATATGGAGGGACCACAAAAAAATGAGGGCATTTCTATTCTTGTTTGTTAGTCTTTCTTCTTTGCCAACCCTTGTTTGTGTATTCTCATAGCAAAATTGAGACTCAAAAAGGCAACCTGTCTAACAAAGTCATTTGTTAAAAATGGTGTTAAAAACCAACTATCATCATTGTTGTGAATCCCATTTCGTACCAATTTGTTACGGTTTACTTACCATATTAGTAAGAAAATGGTACAGATTCAATTTTTTCTTTTTTTGAACTTTTTTTCCTGGGTAATTTTGTGAGCAAGCTATTTCTATCGATTTAAAGTCATTCTGGCTTCTGGTCTGGAACATCTAGGATAGTTATTTTTTTTGGTAATCAAACACAACCCTGGAGCCAATTTATTCTGCTCTCTTTTTTGATCGAGCCCTAGCCAAACCACAGCTGGCTTTAGATGGATCACAACCCTCGAGCTAATTTCTTATGTTATCTTTTCAAGCAGAAACATCTATGTGATTCTCCACTCAAATCACTCTCGGGCCATTTTTGATTGAACAACATTTTAACTGGTTAATCTCTCGGCAAAAATTACACTTTCTTATGATTTATATCTTTTACTAATTTCAAGTCTTTTTATAGACACTATATTAATAAGAGTTTCAAGGGGATAGTTAAACAAGCCTTATTAGGCATTTTAATCAATATAAGTCTAATTTTGAGTTCTAATGGGTTAGTTATTGGGCTAGTTATTTTACCATCCTATTTTTTTGGTGGCTACAATTTAAAACCCCAGAGGCTCTCTAAACAATTATGTATGTATATATTTTAGATTTTTGTATATTTATGTCTTGGATTTAGGAATTTATATATTTTATATTTTACATATATATGTGTGTGTGTGTGTTTGTAGCAATTTTATATGTTCTTTCAATTCTATTTGATGAATTACGAAATAACTTATTTTGTATTTTGTATTTTTTTTTCTCCTCATTCTTTAGGTTTTGTATGTTTATATGTGCAAATTTATTATTATTGCAAATTTATATTAGTAAAATACCAACAATTAGTATTTTTTTATTTTAAGAATTAATTTAGTTTAAATGATTAGCTAAAATAAAGAGTGTGGTTGGAGAACGCAATAGCTAAAGTAATTAGGTAAAATAAAGAGCGTATTTTTTTTGTACTTTAACTAGTGAAAAGTAGAGAGTATGGTTGGAGTTGCTCTTAGCATGGGTTGAAAATAAAAAGAAAAGAAAGTAATATTGCACGATACTCATATCACAACGGAATTAATCAAATGTTCACATATTGCTCCGTTTGGGAAGATGAATTTGGGACTTTTTTTGGCTATTTTAGCCACAAAAAACAAAATATCACATCCAACCCATAATCATTGCACTCTTCTCTCACAAAAAAAGTCAAAAAAATCAAAAAATCAAAAAACTCTTACCAAACTAAACTTTTTAGCCCAGGCTAAAATAATCAAAAAAAACCAACCTACTTCCCAAACGACACCTAGCCTCGCATTTGAGATAGGTTAAAATAGTCAATAAACAAAATTTCCCATTATATCATTCTCTCTATTTTTTTACACATCTTTTTATAATAATTAACTAAAATAATCTATTTTCAAATGGGATTCAAGTGGGATAATTAAGTGAGATTAGAATTCAATATTATGATTTCTTACAATGATCTTGTTGTGTGTTTTAACATAACAATATATTGATAAAATACATAATTCAGTAATTCTAATTCAAAGGGAAGTACAATGAAAATAAAATCACACAAAATTTTAGATTATCAAATAGATTCATAGTTCCAGAGATAGCTTGCAAGAGAATTTGATCCGGAACTAAAGGCCCAGTGAAATCACAACGTGTGTCAAAAAAACATCATCATTATTAAGCATGTTGTACCTGGTACCCCCAAACAAACAAGTCGGAGACAGTTAGCAATAAAGACATCACTTTCACAGTTTCAACTCAAAACTGATGATTGGTACAATCTCTGCTACTAAACTGATGAAACATTGAAGGTGTGGCACTGGCAAAGGCAAAACACAAACACCATATTTCATCTCCCAAATACCTCAAGAAACAATCTTTTTAATTCAGCATAAAATAGAATCTAATATCTTCCATTGGGTTGAAAATCAACCCAAAAAATTCCCAAATACTGAGGATGATACAAGAAAGAAAACACAAGATGCATTCATGAAACATACATAGACCTCTAATTGGCATGAACAAGAAAGAAGCCTGAAAATTCATCTGCTTTATGTTCTATATATACATTGGATTTAAACTACACAAAACATGGGGGGGGGCGCGGACACCAAAACTTAGAGGAAAAAAACATAGCTTTGTCCATAATTCAAATCTCCTCAAAAAGCTTCAAATCTATACTAGAAACAAAGCTAATCAAGATCAACAATTCAAAAACAAATGTATATTACAGAGCTCGCTTCCGGGAGCCTTTAAAATGTCCCAGAGCATCGGCACAATCAATCTGCTCTCGTGGAACTCTCTCTACGCATCCAATGCTCATCATCGTGTATCGCCAATTTTAGCCGATAAGGCCATCCTGAGCTGCTCTTGCGTGTAATATCGACTCCCCATCTTCACCGTTGCCTGTTGGTTCATCAAATCATTCACTACAGACACACTAGCATGGTGAACATCGAGGTCGAGCTCTTTCAGAGCTGACATTACCTTCGCTGCAGGGTGGTTCTTCTTGTTACTCTGTATTCGAATCATCGCGTCCCACCCAATTATCTTGACGTCAATTTCCACATCAATTAGATTGCTAATATTTCCATGATGGTTCGATATGAGGTTTTGATCGGGCGGTTGTGGTGGACCTGAATTTCGCGATTCTTTGTTAGCTAATTCTTTCTTCAAACAATCAATTTGGTTCCTCATCTCATCTTTATCTGACTCTGCAGCTTGGAGGTTCGATTTCAGCTCATTGATGTAAGCAATGGCATCTCCAAGAAGCGAAGCTTTATCCATTTTCGACACGTTTGGAACTACCGCCCTAAGCGAATAGAACCTCTGATTGAGTTTCTCTCTTCGCTGCCTCTCTGCTTCCACATGATTCAATGGCTCTTCTCTTCCATTCGCGGGTTTTCTACCTCGTTTTCGAGGCTTTTTTTCCGGCTCTACGACTCTACTACTCTCAACTTCCCGAACCACTGAGGCTTCGAGATCAGAGTGGTCTGAATCTCCGCCACCACCCCCACCACCATTAGACTTCACTGTCCCCGAAGAGGGCAAGATCACACCTGAAGTAAACGAAAGCATGCCTTCTTCGTTGCTACCTCGCGAAGTCGGTGATGTCTTCTTCTTGCTATTATTATCCTCTGCAGACCCGAATTGAGAATTACCTGAAAATAGATTTTCATTGGGACTACATGAACTCCTCTTACTCTCCCCGAAATTCAATATCTCACCCGATTCAGGCTTACACGAAGTCGAATTCCCGTTCCTGATACTAGTTCCATCGCGATCGAATTCAGTGAAATTCAATTCTCTGGCTAAGAAGCTCTGGGAATGGGTTTGTTGTTGCTGGGTTTGTTGGCAAGAGATTGAATTGGGGTTTTCGAATGCGATTTGCTTCGAAGATTGGTGATTGTTCGGAGGGATTGAAACAGGGGTAGTAGTGTTAACTGTCTCTCTGATTTCGATTGAAGAAGGATCGGTTATATAGAGCGTGGATGGATCGTTTTCGTCGGGATTTATCTGCATCGACCACGAACCCAGTTCAATACTGTTGAAATTGAATAAAACTCTAACCTTAGTCATGAGATCTGAATTCTGAAATATCAATTCTGTAGAACCCAATTCTACAACTCCAGTGACTGAGGGTATGCAAACCATGGTCTGTAAACCAAATACTTGTCCCTGTCGAGCTCGTTCGCATGGCGAAGAAGCGAGTCGATCAGCTCCGGCAACCCAAATCGGAGACGAATTGAAAAAAGCCTGACCCGGAAACCCACTTCCATTGACAAACGACTGAGTCATCGAGACGAGGAAGAACCACTCAGTGTCGGTGACTTCCTCATCGATAATCTCGTCGGACGACGACGGCGATGCGCCGGAGATCAGAGAATTGAGCTCCCGGAGCACCTTCTTGCGGTGCTCCTGCTCCTCCGCGGACGACGGAGCCACCGCCTTGCGCTTGGCTTTGTCTTCCTCTCCTTTGTAGTACCCGTCGCCCCAACCCAGCAAAGATCCGCCGGAGTAGTCGCCGGAGGAGGATTGCCAGAAGATGGCGTATGTCCAGCTTTCTCGAGCACCCTCGATTAGGGCTTGAAGGCGTTGCTGGAGAGTCTCTTGGTTGAAGAGCGGCGGCGAGAGGTGGTGGTTCGCGGTGGTGGAGGCGGAGGAAGACAGCGGCGGCGCTGGCCAAAACGACGTCAGATCGGAATTACCGAACGCGTCCATCATCGACGCGTTGTCGTCTGTCCAAGCCGGTAACCGGTAATCCGTCATACCATACACCGGCAACCGGAACTCCAGTTTCTAGAGCGAGAGACAAAAAAAAAAAAGAAATCCTAGAGAGAGAGAGAGGGGGGGGGAGAGAGAGTTTTTAGAGAGAGAAAGTGGAGAGAAAAGGCGGCTGGGGGAGGAGAGATATGAGGTGGTGAGTGGTAGTGGTGGTGGTGGTGGGGTTGGGGAATTTCGGATGCATTTGGATTTGGGGATTTTTATTTGGAGTGCATTTGAGCTGAATTTGTACAAAGGACTCGGCGATTAAATCGGCAACGTTTATCGTGAGAAAAGCCGGCGCAGTTTAAAAGGGTTGTGTAACTTGTGGTGGTGTTGGGGTTTGGGTAAGGTAGCACGTTTTGTAGCACGTGGCGGTGTTTAGTTAGGTATGTTGAAACAGTCCGTTAAGTTAGAACCGAAAGGGTTGAGTATTGAAATTCTGTTTGGGTTATGTGAATTTGACCCGACTCCGCTCCATCACTTTTCTTAACTATATCCATTTTTGTTCAATTCCATCCCTCCACGTCTGCTCCTTTTTCAGTGAAAAGACAATAAACAATAATTGGTAGTTTACTTGTATGGAGAAGGTAAAAAAAAAAAAATCAAAAATGATTTGGCAGTTTTTTACTTGTACGGAGAAAGAAAAAAAGAATTATAAAAAAGGCAATGATTAATGATCATAAATTCTGTAGTTCAAATAGTTTGAAAATATCAAAACAATACTGTTTTAGATATAAAACAATTCTGAAAATGTTAAAACGACGTCGTTTTAACATTTTCGGACCATTTGAATCACAGAATTTGTGACCACCAAATATTTTCCTTATAAAAGTATGGAGGATGTTACTGATTTTGTAATGGGATATAAATGAAAAGTTATAGAAGTGCAAGTGGTTGTTTGATATGTATTAAAATAGCATATGTTATTTTAACATGTTATTTTATTTAAGTTATAATTATTTTATTTAAATCACATTACATCTTGACTATATTATTTCAAATTCAACTCATATTTTATGTATTTTCATAAAAAGTCAAAAAATATATTTATCTAACACTTTCCAAACAACCTCTAAGCCTCGCTTACATCTTTTTATATTTATGATTTTTTTTTTATCTAACTGACAAATAATTTCTCCCTGTAATTGAAATCCTGTAGTTTAAATAGTTTGAAAATATTAAAACGATGCTGTTTTAGATATAAAATAATTCTGAAAATGTTAAAACGACGTCGTTTTGACATTTTCGGACCATTTGAATCACAGAATTTGTGGCCACCAAATATTTTCCTTATAAAAGTATGGAGGATGTTACTGATTTTGTAATGGGATATAAATGAAAAGTTATAGAAGTGCAAGTGGTTGTTTGATATGTATTAAAATAGCATATGTTATTTTAACATGTTATTTTATTTAAGTTATAATTATTTTATTTAAATCACATTACATCTTGACTATATTATTTCAAATTCAACTCATATTTTATGTATTTTCATAAAAAGTCAAAAAATATATTAATCTAACACTTTTCAAACAACCTCTAAGCCTCACTTACGTCTTTTTATATTTATGATTTTTTTTTTATCTAACTGACAAATAATTTCTCCCTGTAATTGTAAAACGTAAATGTTAATAAGTGTATTGAATTTAATAAAAAATATATTATATTTTTTGTTTATTATTATTATTATTTATGTCCTAAGAATACTTGTTATGAAGACCCCACTCTTAAAAAACTCATGACAAAATTTCAAACATTTTATGTTTTCGAACTATTTATTAGAGTTTAATTACAGATCCACTCTATGGTATGTAGATAGTAAAATATGGGATAGAAAATGGGTATATTTAATCTTTATTTCTTCATTAATTGTTCTAATAGCATTGATTAGTAAATTTTAAAATAATTACTATATATTTCTTATGAAATATATTTGTTTTCATGAAATTGTACATTTTGTTTTAAACTTGTAAACAAGTACTCTTAGAAAATACAGATCAATACAAATTAATAGCTTTACAAAAAGGACATGATTTTTTTTTTCTGTTATTTTTTTATTAGAAGGAAATGATCTTTATAAAAGAAGCATAATTATCATTACAATCCGAAGTAAAATCTCGATGGAATCACATCTTTACTTGTAAGTAAAACGAAAAATGTATGTTGAAACATTTTAGAGGAGATGGTTTGAAAAATCTTTATGTTATCTTGTGATATATATATATATATATATATAGCTCTTGTATTACATTACAAAATTAAAATTACAGCCTACAATTATGTAAATGATATTCAAATAAAATGAATGCCATGCCACATTTAAAGATTTAATTAAATGTAATAACTATCCTGAGGTTGATCTTTAAATCATGCATCAATGTTATACTTTACTTTTTAAGCCAAGTTTAGGTTACAAAAGAAACAGGACTATAAATTATCTATTTATAGTCATTTTCTGAAGTTGGTCATCTTTCATTGAAACATAGGTTGTGCTTTTTTTCTTCTTCCTTTTTTTTTTTTTTTTTTTTTTTTTTTTTTTGAATACTCTCACATTATTATTATTATTTTTTGAGTACTCTCATATTATTTTATGTGTCGAAATCTTGAAACTTTAAAAATCCAATCATTATTTTTAAAAGTTCCCTTTTTTGAAATTGATAGTTAAATATAATCATATTATTCAAATAAAAGGAGGCTACCCTCCTCCAATTATGGACATAGTGGGAATGTGGGCTCATTCCAATTCTACCATAAAAAGTCATTCATACAAAAACTAAATCGATCTCATAGTAAATTTCCTATTTTACCCTTCTTTTAAATTAATAAACAATATAAAAAGTACAATTATGACATTGATATTCTCAAAAAATGTACTATCTAAAGGATAATTTTGGAAAATTAACTTTTTTCAAATGCAATAATTGTACTACCAAAAAAAGTTAGATTCCCCAAAAGAGACCATTATTTTGGGACGGAGGGAGTATTCAAATAAAAGGAGGCTTCCCTCCTCCAATTATGGACATAGTGGGAATGTGGGCTCATTCCAATTCTACCATAAAAAGTCATTCATACAAAAACTAAATCGATCTCATAGGGATAATTATATGATTGAATCATATTTATTTTATAAAAAAGGATGACAAGTATAATTTTAAAAATATATCATCCGATTTATGTTATATTTGTTGGAATAATTCGTCTTGAATTCTTTAATTGGTGGTCTTCGGATCTTCAAAATTTGACAATGAACTTATCTATGTCGAACAGAAATATGATGCTTCAAGTCACGTTACTTAGTCGCTTTCCTAAAGACAATATTTGAATCCACTAAAAGGTGTGCAAGGGGGGTTACAACAAATTCGCCTCTAGGATACAATGAAGCATAATCTAAAGATCAAGTCTACCGACGTCTACACTGACGACAGCAGATCAGAATACTCTTGATATAATCAAGAAAACTAAGACACTGATAATCAAATTTTCAAAACTTGATTACTAGTAAGAAAAGCAAAAATTTACTTAAGAAACTCTTAATCGAAAACTTAAAATCAAGAGGGAGAAAAAGAGAGAATTACAGAAATGCTTCTGAATTTTTTTTGAATGGAATGAAATGGCTGATTTTGTAGCTTATTTATAGGCCTTGATGGATCTAATCGAATGGTCATGTCCCTTGATCGCATCTGATCAGATTTGATCGTTGGATTAACAATCTATGGTGCAGATCATTCTCACACCGAATGGCTGTCTTGACTGATCACACCTGATGACGATCGGGTGCCATCTCATTCGTACGGTCGCGCGTATCTCCAATCAACGACTATGATCAAACGGCTCTAGATTGGACACGCAACCGTTCGATCGGTTGGTTGACTCATCACCAACAGATGCCACGTCACTGCCACGTGGAGCTGACTGTATTCCACGTCACCTATGCCACGTTGGATCCACGCCATTGCTCCAACCTGTCCGATGCAAATAGGAAAGCCCCTTCATGGAGCCTTGTGAAGTGCAAAGTGCGCCATTAAACGCCACACAGCCCACACCACACCACGCGCACACGTGTGCGTGTACGGATGGTGTAAAGCACTATCATGTCGGTGTGGGTGCATGCACACTAGATTTCACCTCACAATTCCATATTCAAAAGAATATTCCATGTAACACTTTATTAAGTACTCCATATTTTCTTCTCTTTTCGATGTAGGACAAAGTCCCCAAGTTTATTTCAAGTTTTCCAAAGAAAAACAAGAAAGGTTTTGAAAACACCCAAAATTAAACTACACATTTTAAAAAACCATTTTGAAAATTCCCCAACATTCCCCTACCATTTTCAAAATACCAGATGATGACTCTTGGTTCACTTGACAGCATTATGCATAGGTGAAGATATCTTATGATTTGAATCATTCACTTAGTTCAAACATCTCAAAGTTAGTCAAGATGGCATAGTAGACTTGTCTTTGAACTAGCGATCTTATACGACTAACCAAACATGTCTCACGCACAGTACATGTTACCTAAAGTATTCAAACAAACCGACATGTGGATTGGCCTTGTGCCTATATCCTATTTCATGAGTGCTCTAGAGTCAAACCCCTGGACTCATAGGAAAACTCACATAGGTAAGCTTACTGACAATACCCTTGTAATTTACAGTACCCTAACAACTCAGTTGTAAGGTTATTAAGAATTTACTAACTCATCCTCTTCACATTACAGGTACCAAGAACTTCAACCTTGGGATAAAAATGAAATAAAACTAAGTGCTTGCAATCACGACATATGGTATACTTGGGCTCATTGAACTCAAGACTTGATATTTCTTCAAGCGTTGAGTCGAGTTTCCACCAAGAGTGATTATGTTAAGTGGGCTTAAGACCCACGCCCTTTGATGTTTTCCACACCAAATCCCTTGCAAGTCTCTTTGTTAAAGGGTCAACCAAGTTTTCACTTGACTTTACATAACTAATGGTAATCACACCTTTTGTAATTAACTGCTTGACACAGCTATGTCTCAGTCCTATATGCCTAGACTTTCTATTATAGACATGGCTATAGGCCCGTGATAGAGTTGTTTCACTATCACAATGCAAAAATATTGGTGGCATAGGT